TCACGTCAAGTCGATCTACAGAGATAAAGTCTGTGAATACGGTATCATTTTATTTCCGTGAGTGAATTATTTCTCTCTCCTCCCCTCCCCTCTTCCCCTCTCTCTCTCTCCTCCATCTTCCCATCTCCTCCCTTCTGTATTCTCTCCTCTTTAGTGCTGAGAAAAATCCTGAAGTGAATTTTTCGGCGAGTTAAAACAAATCACAAGAGTTCTCGATGTTTACATGTTCACATAGCTGAACAATCTCAATGGACCACTAGACAAGGTACAAATGCAAGCAATCTGATACATGTTTCTTCACCATAATTTCACGTAGAACATGATTGGCGCAACGAATATTACTGAAACTAACTCCTAACGAAGATATCAACATTTTACACATTGGTTACGAGGAATTTTAACTGTTCGCTCACAAGAAACTCAAAGCTCTACGTGAGTCAAATCGCGCACTACAACGGTTTCAGCAAGCTTCTCAATCAAGCAATGTTCATTACCATGTGTTGTCCTGACTATAAGCAATTTGCTATAGCTGAGCCAAGGCGTCAAAATTGAGGTTGCCAGATTTTTAAGTCGCAGATGCAGATCGCTGTCATGATAACGTTTAGCGCGCGATGTGAGTCACGTAGAGTATTGAGTTTCCATGAGCGGGTGGTTTGAATTTACGCATTGAGCATCATTAAATATCTTCGTAAGGAGTTGATTTCGGTAATTTTCGTTCTGCGCATCGTGTTTTACGTGAAATTTTGATTAAGAAGCATGAATCAGAATGCTGAAATTCGTACCTTGTCTAGTGGTCCAATGAACTAATTTTTGCTATCGATAAGGAACTATTATATTTTCGAATCATTTTAGAAACAACTTATGTCCCCTCAGTTTCTCTGAGGAAATGAGTGTTTTTACAGGTGAGTCCGAAATAGTGGCTCCGAAATGCAGTCATTTTACAATGTTGAGCTTTATTCTTCTCCTTTTTTTGTTTGATCAACAATTCTAGTTGGTAATTGAGATCACGTGCAACTAAAATTTCGTTCTTTTCCTACGTGGCTCGACTTAAATACGCAACAAATCGAAGTCATCAAACTAAAAATAACAAGAATCACACATCAAACCAAGTAAGTGAATCGGACCTGTCAACGGAAAATTGAGAGATGTAGGCGGGAAATGTTATCGGAGGAGGAAAAAATAGCATGTAACAGTTGATTAAATTGCTGAGCAATTCCTTCATTGCAATAATTGATTGATGAGTGCGATTCATGAGTCGTATCCCGTCGCAACATTCGATAAACGGTGCATGCCTTGACGAGTGAGAGGTTTGCGGCGCGCAGTTCAATTAGTTTATCGAATCCATTCATTCAGTTCCATTCATTTGCCAATGAAGAAGGAACAATGATAGTATACATTGATGGGCGATGGAACCAGCGGAAAAACGCGTCTCTTGATTATACTGTTCGAAAATGCACGCTGTTGTTTTATTTTTCTTTTATTTTCATAGGAAAACATTCAGATGTTTTTGCAGGTATCTCTAAGAGGATATACGTATTTTTAAATGGGTGAAGGCATATTTTAAGGCAGATTGGGTCCCAGTTTGGTTTGAAATCGTAAGACCGTTTTGTCTCAAAACGTTCCTAGAACAATGCTCGACATTTTAGTTTCAATAATTTTTGCAAATTAAGGTCCTTGAACCTTGGACGATCTTGTATAAGTTATTTTAAAGGAAAAGTACAATACCAGTGTTCGAAACTCACATTTGAGTTTTAGGAGCCATGTGACGCATCAAGCCCGATTTTTAGGCACCATTGAAGATTTTTTAGGGGCCAAATTGACATTTTGCCTGTATATTACGGCGCATTCAGTGAAAAGTTAGACGCAAGATGTTTTCGTAACAGAACTAGTAAGTAGCTGAAACTTGAGGAAGACAAAATCACTAAGAATGAAATCGTGAAGAATAGAAAAAGCAGTTTTTTTTAATTCAAATTAAATTGTTTTTCTTTCTTTACGTGAATTCCTGTAAAAATCCATAATTTTAAGGGCCACGATGGCGCAGAGCCGTTATTTTTTAAGCGCTATGACCGATTTTTTAGGTGCATATGGCGCGTTGGTGCCTGTGAGTTTCAAACACTGGTAGTAACAAGTGCATTTACATGTTTTTTGCTCAATATGACGGCGGTGCCGTTTTGATTTAGCGTGACAGTGGCGGCCCTTTTGCAAGATTGTTTCTTTTATTGTCACCCATTGATTGGCGGTGAATGGTTTGTATTAGTTACTTCCTATGTTGCCAGAACTTCATGTCACCAAAGAGAGAGTGTAAGTTCAAATCTGACCTTGTGTTATTTTAACATACAATTTTATTGAGTGGAAAATGCGTTGGTTGTAAAATGTTTAAATATTCTTCAACAGATTATCATTAATCGTGCAAGTTAGGTAGACTCGACAGTATTTTAATTTGGCTTTATATAGAGACTTATGTATTTCGTGTTAGGTAAAACAGCTACATGAGCACTTTTTTTTTTTTTTTTTTTTTTTTTTTTTTTAACAAACTTTATTTAACATAACGTATTTACTACAAGGATATGTATTGTATCTATCTACATAAATTAAATTAAATTACATTTACAGCAGTACTAAGCAACAAAGTATATAGTATCTACGATGAAACCGCGTATCTCATTTGCGGTGTTTAAATTTTCCGTTTCTATTTTAGTGTGAACATATCAAATTCATTCCTGGAATTTTCACAGATTATTCTTAGCAAGAATGCAAAAAATCATTGAAGTTTTTGACAATTGACGTTGAGTAGTTTTCCATTTAACAACTGAAAAATGATAGGAAGTCTGCAACGTCGCAAACCGGGATACGTGGTTTGGGAGTTTTGACTTCGATGTGTGCAATTTCCTGCATACCTTTTTATTCGCATAATTTCAGCCACTAACAGCAAAATTACGAGGTTAAACTTCGGCAGAAGAAGCCACCATCTGCACAATACAGCACTAAACGGCCGTGTTAAGGCAGAACGCCGTATGAGCATTCGAGAGTTGCCAAATTTCCCTGGATGAAGCACGTATTTTTGAGGAAAGTAATGCATATTTTTCATTAAAATTTTCGGATGTTTTAGATGAAATTATGCGGACAAAACGGTCTGAAAAATTAGGAGAAAAATATCATTGACTTTCCCCATAAGTTCGTATTTAATCCGAGCAAATTTGGCAAAGCCTGAAGGTTCATACGGCGGTCTTCCTTGGCAAGGCAGTAAAAACATCTCTCTAGCGGGAAAACATTCTATGATACGAAAAATGCTCTTGGGGTCACACTCCGCTTTGTCAAGTGTGCGCAGTTTTCTTGCTTCGCACGAGCGGCGAATTAATGTGTCCGACGTGAAGACATAGAAACTGTACGAAATCATTTCGCGAAACAACATTCATTTACGGTAGCGACGATGCCTACGTGCTCGAATCTGGAGATTTTCATACGACATATCGTCATTTCCCATACGAAAAAACCTGACTACATTTCAACTCAGCAAATGTCTGCTCGCGAATTGCGGCTTACAGAGAAAAATCTAGCGATTCGCGACTAAAAATTTCATCAATTTATTCCCTGATCACTCCTTTGATTTCTTCGCCAAAATCAACAAAATTGGGCAGAGATTGTATACTCATTTTCTTGTAAATAATTGAATTATTTAGGTCAGTTTTGCAACTTCGCAATTATGTTCCATTGTCTGAAAAACGACGATTATGCCCATTTCAGTAGTTTTAAAAGTGAAAAAATTTACGGCACGAAAAATGCACCACTTGTTCCATTCACTCCAAAAGCACATCCAATAAAACAAGAATAATATAATTTTCTCATTCAGTTACGCACAATTAAGTATGTGATATTTTTCTTCTTCTTCTTTTTCAGCCTGTCCAGTGTTTTGTTGGGTCGATGTTTTCAAATACATCGCAAAAAACTCGGGGCTCTTATCCCTGGTAAAAATTGGCGATAGGAGTTGTCTTTCAAAATACCATGGGAGTTCCTATAGCCGACTGAAGAAGGCGATAGAAAATCATATAGCTGGCTGCAGAAAGTGGAAAAACTCATACAGCCGGGCTACGCGAAGCGATAAAAAATTATACAGCCGGGCTATAGTTCCTATCACCGGGCTTTACACTTTATCGCCTGGCTGTTGCTTTTTCGCCATCGATTATAAAAGGCTATAAGAAATTGTGTAGAAATTCGTGTGCTTTGTAAATCCTTAAGTTTGTACGGAATCACCTTAATATTTACAAATTGCACATTATATTTTCCTTTGCTACATATTTTTTTTTTTTTTCATCAATTACAATGAGAATAATCCATACAGAGTGTGCAAATATTTAAAAGTCATGAGTTGAAAAACGCTGACTCCACGAGATTAAATATTAGAGCCTAACACAAAGCGGAGCGGCGCCGCACTGGCTCCTACAAACCTAACAGGGATACTTCACGCATTCCGCAATGCGTGAAGTATCCCTGTTAGGTTTGTAGGCGCCAATGCGCGTTTCGCGCTGGCTGCCCGCCCGCCGCGCAGCAGCGTACCACGGCGCTTGACGCAACTATTTCACACCAGAGGTATTGCATAGTATCATACGAAATTGAAGGCGCTCCAACATATTAGGAATGGTAGGCGTCCTTCAAAAGTACGGAGCTTTCCTCGCAAAATAAATCAGGATACTACGGCCCAAAAAGAGAGCGGTAGTCCAAAAACTCACTAAGTCCTAGCATCCGAAATTAGTAACGTTTAGCATACACTTTATCGCCAGGCTGTTGCTTAATCGCCATCGGCTATAAAAGGCTATAAGAAATTGTGTTGCCGGCTGTAGAGGCTATTGGAAATCTTACAGTCGACCGTAGGTCTATAATATTTTGGAACACAGATTCTACTGCCAATTTTTACCAGGGATCGGATAACTCAAACCGCAATAATCCATGACACACAAATGAACAAGAAGGATTTAGGAAGGAAATAATAATTTGGTACTTACATTGGTAACATATTAAAACTAGTCCTAGGCATAATAGAAAACAGACTGTCCCAAGGATGCAAACAAGCCGCCTGTCCAAAACAGTTGAATTTTTCTTCAACCTAAAACAAACCAAATTAGAATTGCGTTAGTTTTTTCTTACAAACAGCGAATACGCGAATACATTTCTTGAATTCATTCAGAAGTTCAAACCAGAAACACACATACCTCGATATCTGACATTTTCGTTGGAAACCTAACTTATCTTTAAAACTTGCGGTACATTTTAAAAAGCAGAACCGATTTTCTTGTGAGCAATATGCAACCGGGTATTGATGACTCGTGTTAAATAATGTGCATCGCCATTGCAATGTTTCAGAAATCTAGATTATTTGCTATTTACTGCACATTCAATCCCTTTTTTGCCATTTTATGTCGTTCTAGAAACACACTTTTGTTTGTTGTCCCATTCTCAAATACGAACGAACACATTGGAACTAAGAGGACAAGAAAATCCACTTCAGTTTTCTGCGTAGGCAACACGAACATCCATCGAACATGAATAGTTAGACGTAGGAGAGAATGTCAAGCGTGTATCGCGCCTTCAGATTTTCGCATATGCAATACGGGCATCCATCAAGTACGAATAGTTGCATCCAGCCGCTAATATTAGGAAGCATGCCGCCAGCATTGTCTGGCCGTTTCAGTTCTTGATTGAAGAAAAAGAGGCGGAAGAAGAAGAACATGGGGGCAAGAAAGGAAGGTGAAGATGGAAAAGAAGTAGTAGAGGTATTGAAATGAGTTTATTTATAAGAGGTGCCTTAACATTGGAGGCCATTTACACCTTTGGAAAAATTATCATAAGGGAGTTCACAAATACAGAGTGTTTTACAGAGAAGATACGGAAAAATAAAAGGAAGGAAATAGAAGCCGAAGAGGAGGAATAATCACAGGAAGGAGAGGAAGAGAAAGAAAGAGAAGAATAAGAAGCGGAGAAAAGACACGAAAAATAGTAAGAGAAATAAGAAAAAGAAGAAAGGCGATGGGGTAAAAGAAGAGGAAGAGTGTGAAAAAGAGGAGGAATGAGAAGAAGAGAAAAAAGAAGAAAAGGGGAAAATAGAAGAAAGGAAAAAGAAGAAGGAAAGAGAAAGAAGATGGAAGGAGAAAGAAGAAGGAATGAGAAAGAAGATGGAAGGAGAAAGAAGAAGGAAGGAGAAAGAAGAAGGCATGAGAAAGAAGAAGAAAGGAGAAAGAAGAAATAAGAAGAAAATGAGGATTGAGAAGAAAAGGAGGAGAAAAACGGAAAGGAGGAGAAAAAAGAAAAGGAGAAAGAGGAGGAGGAAAAGGAGAAAGGAGATGAGGGAAAATAAAATCGTTTCATTTTTCATCTTTTTTCCTATAAGACGCAGACTCACGTCTGTCAGCCTAGGGTTGAAGTGGGTTGATTCCTGAAGGTTGATCTCGAAACCTAATCTTATTTCAGCAAGCATTGATCGAGAGAGGATCTGGTTTAGTCGATTGCAGTTTGGCATTATCAAGAGCGGCATCTTCAAGGGCGTGCAGCTCATTGCGTCGCTCTTCTGAAGTAAGGGCGTACCTCTAATGGGCCTGTTGCATGCAAGAGATACAGCCGTGCAAATAGACTTTTTAGAGATTAAATGACACGAAAATTACGATGGTCACATTAAAAAAGTCTGAAATACATTCCTTACTGCGCAATTTGCGTTGTTAGGAACGCGCTTTTTCAAATTTCCCGCGTCTGGGGGCAGTTTTCTAATCACCGGAAACGAGCAAATGGCGGGCTTGGTGATTACCGGAAGATGCCGAGTCGTTGTTGTTGTTGTTATTTTTTCCTTCAGTTTGTTTACAAACCCAACGTGATCTCTTATAGTGGTCCATATACGCTTTATGCGGTAACCAAATCGATCAACTTTTAAATATCCAACGTAATCCTTTTACATTTCATTTCACGATATCACGAGCTCCGATTTTTAGGTTACCTATGTTGTCAGTTTTAGTTGACCGGAAATAGCCGCGAATTGCCGTTAATTGTTTCCGTTAGAAAACTGCCCCCAGACGCGGGAAATTTGAAAAAGCGCGTTCCTAACAACGCAAATTGCGCAGTAAGGAGTGTATTTCAGACTTTTTTAATGTGACCATCGTAATTTTCGTGTCATTTAACCTCTAAAAAGTCTATTTGCGCGGCTGTATCTCTTGCATGCAACAGGCCCATTCCACATGAGCGCTGGGAAGCGTAGGGTTGTACGATGCCCAGGGCTCACGTGGACATTCAGAAACGTCCTTTCGTCAGAGAGGCCACGATTGGCGGTTCCGATGCAACGCGCGCGGGAATCAGTGCAAATGGATCAGCGGCGTCACTCTACCGTTAGATACTGCTCAATAAACTGTGCGCTAGCAAAATGCTAATTCTAGTGCTGTCGAAGACGCTGGTCTCCGATGCGTTTGCTTGCAAGAGATACCGATATGTGATCGCAGTTTTAATGCGAGTTTTATACCGCAAAATTCATGTTTTCTCAATCGCGGGTTCTCACACTGGGAAAAAAAAAAAAAAAAAAAAAAAAAAAAAAAACCATTGGATCTAGAGTCCAGACTCTTAAAAACATCGACAAGAAAAAATACTCTTGATTCAATCAGATTTAAGCTTAAATCAAGAACCAAGCCTCTTAATTTGAGTGGAATTCCTTTTGATTTAAGCTTAAATCTGATAGAATCAAGAGTCAATGTTTTCAAGAGTCTGGACTCTAGGTCCAATGTGTTTTTTTTTCCAGTGCATTTAAATAGAGGGCTACTTCCCCTGAGCACTTTGCGGTCCAACCCCCTCAAAGCACTCAGCACTTGAGGCGTTTTGCGTTACTCCTATGAAATTATATTATAGAGTATGAGATTTGTCAATCGTCATTTAAATTTTGAGCCATCGGGATACTCTCATGCTCAAATTAAACCAGACGTCAAAGGGGAAACCTTAAACTTTGAAGAGACAGCTTTTCGTGACTCTTCTCCTTCCTTTCTCCTCAGATTCAAGCGTCCGATGCGTGGCCGATCTGTTCATCTTTTGATGGACGAGCATGATTTTCAGGATTGGTCAATTAGCACCTCCAATTCAATGAGCACTTTGGAACGGCGATCGGCTTCAAAGTTGCGATTTGTGAAGCGTTTATTTATAGGTATGCATCTCCTCATTACCAACCTCCCTCTCTCTCCTCCACAATTAACCAACGCAAGATCACATGAATGGCACACATGCCACCGAAGCATCAAGTTGAATGCCGATCACCGCACGACAATGAAATCGCGCGCTGTTGCCTATTTTGGCGGACGCGGCCGAGATCTACACTGAGAAAAAACTATGGTTTATAAACCTATTAGAGGTAAATATGGAACACCTATAATAGTCGTAAATAAACTAATGATTCTCGGCCTGTGAACCATACTAAGGTCTCTGTACCTAATTAAGGTACCCCGTACCATAACTAAGGTATATGTGCTATTATTATATGTAGAGGTACTACTATTAGTGGTGTTCCATTTTTACCTCTAATAGGTTTATAAGCCATAGTTTTTTCTCAGTGTACAGCGATTGGGGAGTTGTAGATCAATGGACCGCCAGACAAAGTAGGACTCAGTGCATGTGTTGATACTCAAAATTTTCACTTCCATACGATTCTTGAAAGAAGAATCACTGAAATTAACTGCGAACCAAAAAATGAACGTTTTCATTCAGTATTGAAAAATATGAATTTCCTGATAAAATAAAAAATAACTCTCTTTGAGTCAAATCGCACTCTTGAATGGTTTTGGCAAGCTTGGAAGCTTTTAGCTCTTTAAGCAGGAGTTTTTTAGTATAATATTCATAAACGATAAAACAATCAATTGAAATAAAGTGAATTATATCTAAAATAGTTAATTTTTGACTTCAGTGAAATCCCCGTGCATTAATTTCATTTCATATGATTTGCAAACAAAATATGAGTTGGGGTGTTTTTTTTTAGATAAAATATATTTTAATTTATTCTTTATTAATTCAACTTAACTTGATAATCCAATCTCTGTAAACCTAGATCGAGGAAAATGCAACATCGATATTAAGTAAATAAACATACGAAGCTAGTCGCATCGTAAGACAACTGTTACAACATCTTTCTTACTTATTCCACGATAAAACCATTAAAATGTCAACTCGATCAAATCAGAACTGCGTAAGAGCTCAACGCTGATTGCACGTCTGCTTTCGATTACCCTTGCTTGAGTTAGTGGTATAAAATATTTATCACCACAAACATCTGCAAAGAATGCTGATGATAAAAATAAAATAGCAATTTTTCAAAGTGTAAGGTAAGTATCTGTAATTTGATAGGATATCATTAACTTGCCTTTAAATTATTACCTGAAGAAATAAGGAAAACATGCTGTGCAGTTTCAATGTACGATTACAATGTTGTTATGAGTCAATATTGTTAACCGATTTATTTGGTTGGAGTTTATCATATTTTTTACCGTAAATCTATCCATCGGCAAGCAATTTGTTTAATATACATTAGTAAAAAGTACTATCCATGTTCTGGGTGCTAAAAGGTATAGCACTTTTTTAAAGTTTTTTCCTCTGGATAAAATGATATTTGAATATTTTGTTCTTGCTTTTTCTTCTCTATTTGCCAGCAAGAAGGTATTCGTGAAAAATTTTATAAGAATGTGAAAATGTTAAAAAAAAAAAAAAAAAAAAAAAAAAAAAAAAAAAAAAAAAAAACAGACTAAGGCTGAATAAAGTATTAACACCACAATCAAAAGATAAGTTATTTACGTTATTGTAATAAAAATATTAAAAATGTGTAGCTGTGTAACAAAACAATCAATGCGTTCCTCTCGTACAAGATATTTTATGACTCACGTTTAGTGCATAGTACGCATAATTATTTTCTGTGGAATCATCACCACTTTCTTTATACGGGAATGAAATATACATTAACTTTGTTTGAAACTCCCTCATTCTAGCTCACTAATCCGCTGTTTCCTTCTGCGAATGAAGGAGTGATTCAATCAGGTAAACACTCTGTGAAAGACTGCAGCTCACATCCCTCAAGGCCGCGCTGAATAAATTTGGCAT